AAGCTACAACACCATAAATGCAGTCCCTCACGTCTCAGAAATATTACAGCTGTCTATTATGGCAAGCTGTTGAAACATTTATTATGTTATAATTCACAATTGTTTTTAATAACTAGTCATTTTAAAAATGACAAGTATCTTTCACTTTCACAAGGTTCACTGGATATTAGTGCTTGTTGCCAAAGTGACTATATCTCTTCAATTGGTATTTATTTACAATAATAATCATACTTTTTTGATACAAGCATCTGTAACTGGGTAATAAATTGCAAACTTTTATCATTCAATTCCATGAGGATCATAAATAAATGCATTTTCAAAAAATCAACCCCAGACCATTTCAGTTCACCCTCGAAAGTTGATATGAGCACAAATAGAATTTTTGCAATTTATTACTAGTAAGAATGAAAAAGTTACCTGTTGCTATTGGTAAAATGACTACTAACAAATTAATAAGTAGGCTACTAGTGCTGAAAATATCAGAATTACTATTAGCTAAAATAAAAGCAGAAATAAAAAATTCTATAAAAGACTTTAGTTGAATAAATGTTGAAACTTCTTGCCACATGCTATTGCCAAAGTTACTTTGGGTTTGTCTGTTGCAAGATCATTACAGAGTCAATAAGTTCAACTCAGTGCAGGGAACCCCTGATCTTTGAAATCATGAAGCAGTGAATTCAAGAAACGGCTGCTTAATTCAAATCCAAAGTATCAAAACCTCCCCATATAAAAGTGAATAAACTGAACAGATGGAATTATTTCTCTGCGGTTCCCATGAGATTGATTAGTCAGAATCCTTAATGACATGCATGTTATTAGTCAAGCTTAAAACTATCATTGAGCACTGAGAATGATTCAATCCTCCTGTATTCCATTAGCCTGAAGTACATTCAAGGATATATATATTTAGGATGGAGGGGACTAAAATAATTTAAGAATCGGTATGCGATCAGTCATCCATCTGAATATTGGGTAGGACATGTCCTCCTCAATGTGGTCATGACCCCACGATCATGTTACAGTAAGTAGCTAATACATAACAGAAACTAATAATAACTGATCAGCTGATGAGCAGTATCAGAGTTGCATAAACATATACATCAGGTGTAATTAAATCCTCTTCACAGCATGTGGATATAAGCTCAGAGGTGTGCCACACTTCCTTACACGTCAGTATCACTCTAGCTAAGACATAAACATCTTGCATTATGACAATACAACATAACACATGACAAATGTTTGTAATGGCTTCATGTGACTATTAATATTATCCCGTTCACATACAGCATGCATATTTCGCATAGCAATCCAAATAAACTGCTTGGTTTCTTCTTTGCTTTGTCTAATGACAATCACTGAAACTTTTCCGCACCAAGTAATTTATCTCTATAGGTTCATGGTGGCTATTTTGAGCAGCCCCCTTTTCTCTCTCTGTCAGTGTGTTTGTTATGATGGCTTAGTTTCCTAACAATGTGCTGATGCCCAATTAAAGGACATGAACTGATTGTGATCGCAGAGAAGCGTGAGGGTCAGTGAGAGTCTAGCCACTCAAGCATAGGTCATCTGTTTCCGACTGTTTGTGTTTCTATTGGCTTAAACACTCTAAGGATTAACTTTAAATCGCCATGTACCAGTGGGCCACCGGGGAGCTTTCATCCACAGCAGCAGGTGACTTGACTACAGTGTTTATGTTCATTTTGACAACAGTGAGAATAGGAGCGCTGAACACTCTGGGGCAACAGAACAGGGATAAATTCTGTCTATCAACCTGGGGGGGGGGGAGGTTTAAATGTTCTTTTGCATTCCACAGGGAAGCAAACTCATACAGGTTTGAAAATGAAGTAAACAACATAAGGGTGAATAAATGATAGAATTTTCCCCTTTGAGTGAATTATTCCTTGCCTGCAAACTGAACGATGCACTTAAGATGTGAACAATCTAAAGAAATACCAGAACAAGCACACAAAAGGCTGTAGAGTTATTCTCACTGAAGGAATATTTCACCCAAAAATTAAAATTTGCTGACAATGCACTCAATTTCAGGCCATCCAAGATGTAGATGAGTTTGTTTCTTCATCGAAATAGATTTGGGGAAAATTTAGCGTTACATCACTTGCTCACCATTGGATCCTCTGCAGTGAATGGGTGCCGTCAGAAACAAAACCGCTGATAAAAACTTCACAATCATCCACACGACTCCAGTCCATCAATTAACATCTTGTGAAGTGAAAAGCTGTTTGTATGAAACAAATTGATAATTAAGGCATTTTAACTTTAAACCATCACTTCTGGCCAAAATACTAATCCATAATAATGATTCCTCCAGTGGAAAAGTCCATCCCCTCTTGGCCACAGACATATTTGTTTAAAATTGTTTTGGACTACTTGCGCTTATAAACAGTACCTGATCTGTGCATATTTCTTTCATGAGTCAGACAAGATGACTTTCACTAGAAAATCAAATTATGGATAGAGGTCTCATATTTTAACCAGAAGCAATGGCCAGAAGTTAAAAGTGTCTTTATGATAGATTTATTACAAACATGCAACTTTTAATGTCACAAGATGTCAACTGATGGACTGGAGTCGTGTGGATTACTTGTGGATTCTTGTGATCATTCTGACGGCACCCATTCACTGCAAAGGATTTTGGCAAGCAAATAATGTAATGCTAAAATTTCCCAAATCTACTCTCATGAAGAAATGGTACATTTTCTGCAAATGCTATTTGGGTGATCTATTTCTTTGACTAAAACTAAAATTAAACTAAAACTAAAACCATTAAAAAAAGTTACTTAAATGTTAACTGTAATAAAATATAAAACATTTTAGCTTATTTTATTTCAGCTAGTTTAATACTTAAATGACTAAAACTGAAATCAGAAAAAAATGTTTAAAAAAAATACATACAACAAAAACAAATAACAATAAAATTACTGTAACTACATTTCAAAATTAAAATGGAAAACATAAAAATAAAAAGTAAATAGTCAAAATATTAACAAAACCTATTCTATATCATTGATAATAAAACAACGCAGCTGACAGCTTTGCTGGAAACTTTCTTAAGCTGAATGAACGAATGTCATGCAACCATTGTAAAAAAAAAAATCATGTGTCTAAAAATGATAAAGAAGATATGAATATGGGCCAGAATGGAACTACAGATGAGCTTGTATGGAGCAGATATCTCAGACCCCTTGAGCGTGATACAGCATGGCTGTGCCTGTGGCTCTAAACAGCCTCACGTGACACAAACTCAAAAGAAGGACGTGCGTGCGTGCGTGCGGGTGTGTGTGTACGCTTATCAGTATGAACATGCTGCTCCGTGAGCAGCTGGGCCTCCTGCCTCCACTTCGTTCTAATCACCCCTCACCTTGACATACTTTTGCCGAATCATATTTCATATTAAGAACAGCTTGTTGGATTATATATATAACATATATATAAATAATCATGCAACAGAAGCGAGTCATGTGAGAGAGGTGATGTTATTCTCACGAAATGATGATGGCCCCCATCAGCTTTCTGCACTCCCTATTTATCTCTGTGCTGGGTCTGTGTGAAGGACATACAGTGGGTACGGAAAGTATTCCCACCCCCTTAAATTTTTCACTCTTTGTTATATTGCAGCCATTTGCTAAAATCATTTAAGTTAATTGTTTTTCCTCATTAATGTACACACAGCACCCCATATTGACAGAAAAACACAGAATTGTTGACATTTTTGCAGATTTATTAAAAAAGAAAAACTGAAATATTACATGGTCCTAAGTATTCAGACCCTTTGCTCAGTATTTAGTAGAAATCAGGTAGATTCTTGAAAAAAATAACAAGCTTCCAGTAAACGAATAAACACTGGGGATAGTTTAGCTAGTTACAAAAAAAAAAATCACTTGCCCCTTTTGTTCTTTATAAAAATTAATAATAATACATATTTTAGAATTATTTATTTATCACCATGCTAGCGTCAATAATTATACTCAAATAAATAAATAAAACAATACAATATATAATTAAACTTCTGACAAAATTAAAATAACTAGATACAATCTTTCAGTGTAACATTTGATAGAAATTCTAAATATTTCCTAGGAAACCTTAAAAAAAAAAAAATTCTGAATACAACTGTTGCCTACACCTCCTTTTCTTAGGCAACAGTTGTATTCAGAAATGTCAAATAGATAGATAGATAGATAGATCGATAGATAGATAGATAGATGATAGACAGACAGACAGATTCTTGTTTATATCTTCAGTTTTTTAATATAATATATAAATTCTTGCTGTTTGTTGTTTAATATTGTGCAACAATATTATGTATCATGTACAATTAAACTACAAATTTGCTTAAATTGTTTTGTGGCATTACAGGGTTTGCGTAATTGCATCATCATGGCAAAAAAATTTTAATGCATGAAAAGTTAAAGGGGTCATATGATGTTGCTAAAAAGAACATTATTTTGTGTATTTGGTGTAATGAAATGTGTTTATGCGGTTTAAGGTTCAAAAAACACATTATTTTCCACATACTGTACATTATTGTTTCTCCTCTATGCCCCACCTTTCTGAAACGTGTCGATTTTTACAAAGCTCACCGGTCTGAAAAAGCGAGGTGTGCTGTGATTGGCCAGATATCCAGTGCGTTGTGATTGGCCAAATACCTCAAGCGTGTGACGGAAATGTTACGCCCCTTACCATACTGTGATGATGCCCTGTCAGGCCCTGAGTGAGAGGAGGCCGATGAGCTTGAGAACGGCGCGGCCGGCGGGCTTGCGGCAACCACGTGACGACCCCGGGCTGGACTCCGCTTCGTCCACGGTGAAAGCCGATCCGGCGATCCACAGCGCAAAGTTGTTGTGTTTTCTCAGCGACCAGCACGGATCAGCTCCAGGCATGACGAAGCCATATCGTCCTCTTTTGGAAGACCAAACAAAGTAGTTTCGCTTTCACAACGATACAATCGTTACGATACAAGCATATTTTTATTCGAAAAAAAAAACGTTACATGCATGATGCATATTGTTTATGTCTTGTTAAAATATTGTTTTAATAGTAAAACAACAATTCTAGATTGGCCCCCATTCACTCCAAGATTTTTTATTTTCTTTAAAGAAATAGAAGAATTCAAAATCAATTTGATCAAAATTATGCCACAATTTATCTTAACGGTATGCAACCAAGAATATTCCTTTAACATCCCCAGTAAGAATATTATCAGAGTGGAGAAGGCTGCAAAAGTTCAATCTAACATAGCTCTATGGGATAAGGTTTTGCAGACCTTAGGATTCTTAAATACAGTATGTACAATTTTTCATTATGACATGATTAATCTATGACATTTGTTATGATATTCTCCAGATTTCTCAGAGACTCTGGAAATCAAGCCTATATAACTAATCCATTTTGTCTCAAGTGGCACATGACCGGAAAGGTACAGTGTGTCCTGCAAGCTTATCAAGCCATGCCTGTATACTGTATAAACAAACTAGCTCCTATCAGCTCCTACTAATGTGACATATACTGCCATCTAGCGGAATACAATAGAACATTATAAAGCAGTTATAATAACAGTTCTGAAAAATAACTAGATGCTTCACGTTGAAAATAGCCAATACATAAAACCTATCAAATTCAATATCCATTTTTGTTTTATTTTTAAGTTACAGCAACTAGCATAAGAAAAGGCAGACAAGGAATGATTAAAAGAAATAAATATAATGAAAAACACAAGTTAACAAGTTCATGAGGGCATTTTGCTTTGTGCCATATAATGTGGCTACCAGAAAATATGTTCATTGATAATGTATCAAGAGATCTACAGTCTCAAACATGAAGACAAATGATAACTGCCCTGCCAACATTAGAAAGTTGGCATCAGTGAGCCAGAGGAGCGTCTTAAGAGTTGGCCCCCGTCCGAGGGCCTTTCATGACGAAGGTCTTTGCCTCATCATCAATCTCATCCATGATTCTCTCCTGCCTGACTGAGAGAATGGTGTAGCTGACTGATGCAGGGGTTAAGGCCATTACGTCATACAGCTAGAGATACAATAACTTATTAGTTAATAATTGGCTTGATTGATTTGTAGTTATTAATAGTTGGTGGGTAGGTATTCGTTCATAAAATTGTAATCATACCATTTTGGTAGAGACTCAACAAACATATTAGGTCACGATTCACCTGAAAATGTGCTAATAATAACATTTTACAGACACAAAAGTCATGGTGCTACCATTTATTTCACTATGGTCATACCATGCCTTTTTGTCCCATGGTAATCTTTAATATATCATACAAATATCATGGCACATGACTATGGGAATCATTATTTAACATTCACTTTGATATATCAAGGAATCATATCATAAACATCATTGTCCTTTGGTACTCTTGCGAAAAGGTTACTATGACTTTACCTTAAAATCATAAGGCAAAATCATAATAAAATGAAAAGTAATAACGTTAGCCTTTAGAGTTTTCAAGACAGTCCTGTAAATGTGTAGAATTAAATCAGTGGTTAATACCAGGTAAACACAGCTTTACTGTAGTAACTGGGAGTCGGAAAGCATGAACATTGACAGCATTTTTAAATGAAATGTGCAAAAAGATGTGTATCACTTATTAAACTAAACCAGTTGAGGCTGAACTGTCCTGTTATGAAACTATGAAGGATACATAGGCCCAGCACAAAGGCTCCGATGGTCAGGCCCGTGATCAAATTACGGCTTCGCAGTTGTTTTGAGTGCCTCTTCCAGTGCTCCAGTTCCTGCTGTCTTTTAAGGAGCCGTGTCTGAGCAGGTGTAAGAGGCTTCGGCGCTGTTGAGGACGCGTCCTCAGTCTTTCCCTCCATGTTTGTCTCGTGTTGTGTGACGTTCCGCGCTGCACCAATCAAATAATCCATACGTGGGTACGTCAGATGCCTCGATGCGAACAACCAGGAGGTGTCGCTGTGGAACTATGAGGAATAGGACTTGACAGAAATTAAATTAAAACTCCTTGCCCTCATTTAATCGACTGCTATTTCACTATGGAGGACCAAACCTGAAATTCTACATTTATTTCCTTATGGAAAATATTTCCCAAAATTAAGTTCTGAACTTATATCTCTCATTTATTTTGTTCTCATTTCTCAAGTGTAACAGTTACATACTGTATAACATAGGCCTTCTTACTGAAATTTACCGACTCATTTTAGCCCATAAAAAGACATCATTCTAAACATAGTTTTAATACATGTTTTTAAGTTTAATGAATTTGTCTTAAGCATCTAACAAAGACACCTTAACCTTCATTAAAAAGTTCATTTATTATTAAATTCAATGCACACAGACTGAAGTAGTTTAAGTCTTTGGTTCTTTTAATTGTGATGATTTTGGCTCACATTTAGTGTAACATGTAAAAAATAAAAATAAACACTATCACATATTTTTTCAAAAGTCAGACCATTTGGAGAACTGGGGATTGAAAGCTGGAAAATATTTCAGGAAACAAAGACAAGAGCCAAAGAGTGAAAATGAAGGCACCGTATTTATTTATAATTTCTCACATTGCATTGATCTATAGTCCAGTGGTAATATCTATTCTCTATTTTAAATTGATGTACACACTTTTATCTGACAAAATGACTGTATATATGCACTCTTATAATACTAAAAACATTTTTTTTATATCCATTTCCTAGAATTCTGAAATTGCCAGTGTAAAAACTATGCACATATTTGCATAACATTAAATATGGTCTATCTGTTTTATTTATAGAATATTTATCTCTGTAATAAAATGAAATTGCCAATTATTTCTTAACCATATTTTTATATAAACAACATATTTAAAATATGTACAGTTTAGTCTATATCCACAGTTCGTTTTTAACACACAATGCACATACATACTTTACTGCAAAATGTTCTATTGTTCATTATATTCATTTTCATACTTCTGTGCAATGTCCTGTCAGCATTTTAACAATATTTCATCTTAGAGACTAAAGACAGTAAAAAATGTTAGTCATACAGTTGATTAATTAAACACCTTTTTCTCAGCCTCCTGAATAATAAGGTTTAACCAGTAGTGCACCGTATTGGTGATTAAGCACACATTAAATCCAGGTGTCACCATCAAGATCTTTGTTCAGAGAAAAATTACAAATCAACCAAATATCCATACCTTTGTCGAGTATATTTACTTGTTCATACAACATTTGCACAGAAAACTTAAAGGAAAAAGCTGTTTGGCTAACTGAAAAGTGTTGTTGTTCCACAGGAACAGTTCTTGGTGAGTAGCAATAATATACAGTATATTATTCAGTAACATGTACAAGGATGTGCGCTGTATGTATAATACCTTTAAAGCAATTGTTGTAAGTTATTTATTATTAAGGACTCCACGACTGTCTCATCTCGAACATAACATTTTGACAAACTAGACATTTTCTTTCTTTATAAGATCTGTTTGATCATATCGGCAGATGATCCCTTCGGCTTTTTGCTCTCTTGATTTCGGCAGTACCAAAAACACAGATTGCATTAAAGAACAAGGCAGTTTCGAGGTTTCACAATGCACTTATTTGTTGTGATATTTTGGCTTTGATTGACTGGGACAGTCAATATTCAATCAGTAGACAGAAAACAGTCAGTCACCTTGTTCACTTGGGAATATGAGAAGATGGTGCTGATGGGTGTTTTCTCTTGCTTTCCATTGGGTGATTTCATTTGGTTTGGAAGAGCTCATTGAACTCGTTGAGAATGAGCTCCACGATCTGGTTCTGGAAGACCATGTGCATGGTGATGTTGGACTCCTCCTGTGGTCTCAGCAATGTTGGACCGAACACGATGGCCATACTTTGGACAGACATGCGGTTCAGATCACCATGCTCAATCACTCTGTGGGACAGATGGGTGTATACTCAGAACTGCTTTTCAGTAAATAGACTGAGGATGCATTTAGTACTTCTACAGTTTTTCTCGAATGATCTGATCACTGTTAATACCCAAGGCAAATGGAAGTAACAAAATAAAACAAAGAGGGTCATCATACTACTGACGTACTACATTGAAACAGAATGAGAAATAGGTCCATACTTGCGAAGATGTCTGAAAAGAACCTCCATGGTGTCATGGTTGGGCAAAGGCAGGTTTCTCACTAGATCTCGAATATATGAGACTTTCTGGCTGTAGTCACTCATTTCTAGAAAACGAATACAATTCTTGAGCTCTTAAACATGCATGAATGAGGTTTTGGTCTTGGAAATTAAACATAGTGTATTGTTTTTGTAGATACTCCCTACAGTTTCCATAATAATTACATAGAGTCAAGTGGAATCATGAATCATTCATTTCAGAGTTCATGATGCATTGCATCATTTAGGAAAATAATCATAACCAAATCTAATTGCTGTCAAAGTAAATATACATCAATAGTTCTCATGTCAAAAATATATTACTTTTAATATCTAGCTCTTTATTAAATAAAAGCTTTTTTTATGTATATATCATGTGTCAAAACTTAAAGGGATAGTTCACCCAAAAATGAAGATGTCATCATTTACTCACTCTCGAGTTGTTCCAAACCTGTATGAGTTTCTTTCTTATATTATACACATAAGAAGATCATTTGAAGAATGTTAGTAAATAAAGTTGCTGTTAGCCATTGAAAAAAATATAAATTGAAATGGAAATGATTAAACGCAAATCAATGGCTACTAGCAACTGTTTGGCTACCAACATTCTTCAAAATATCTTCATTTGTGTTCAACAGAAGAAAGAAACTCATACAAGTTTGGAACAACTTAAGAGTGAGAAAATAATGACAACATTTTCATTTTTGGGTGAACTAAAAAAACAAACATTGATTTGGTTCTCTAAAATAGGACAGTAACACTCACGAATGGCGGCGATGAACCTATCAAAAAAGCTGAAGGGGAAAAGAGGCTCAGGAAGTTCACGCAGGAAAAGCTTCAAAGCTCCTGTGATCACATGGATCTCTTCCCACTGCCCATCCTCCAGATCCAGATCCTCTTCTACAGAAAGAAAGGAATATACAGTTTTATATAGTCAATAATACAGTATTGTTTATCCACCACTGCTATAATGAATAAATAAATAAATTCTGAAAACCGTTTAAGGAGTTTCCACACGAATTTGTGATTTTACAGCAGCAACCATTTTTATTAACATTATTTATATTATGTTTATAGCTATTTACGATAAAAATAACTTTGAAAAAAAACATACTTTTACAGCATTGTAAGAAAAACTATACAAGCTCTTTCAATTTGACCTCCGATAATTTTCTAAAGTTCTAAAAATTCCTCCTCATGAGAAGTTTTTAAAACATCAATTAACATTCTGAACGAAATACTTAACTATAACTGCAGTAATTAAGGTGTTTTGGCAGATTGTTACCATGGTAAATGCATTTATTTCCAGCATTCTATAAACACTGATCAACTCAGTCCTAAATGGTGGATGTATACAGTTCAAGGGTTGAAAACACAGTTACAGTCATTGTGATGATGTGTCTAGCTCTTGTTTACCGTGATCAGCTTTATATCGCAGCTTCTGGATGACAGCCAGGTTCCCGCTCACTCTGTAGAGTCCATCTATTTTCAGACCTACACAGAATCTGACACTTTAGATAACTTTTCTCACTAATGAACTTGCAAACAGACACCAAAACGAGCGCTTACCCCTTTTCTCAACAGATCTGATGCATTTTTCCATAAACTTGGGCACGGTTGTGTTTTCCCGATGACAGAGGGTGTCTAGGTGGCAGCCAAACACATTCTCTGTAAACAAAGAGAAACTGAAAATTAAAACGATTTACTGTGAACATGGGATAAGGACAAGGACAAGTCCACGAGACTTTGAAAGTGAGTCTTCAATATTTATAGACTGCATTTAATCACAGTCAGCGACATTAATTAAGATCATGTTATAAGAGGCAAAAGTCGATACTAACCTTTAATGTAGCCCTTCTCTTTGACTGACTGCAGGGTGGGCCGCCGTTGGAGGAACTTGCGTAGCTTGGTGCGAACACGGCCCTGTTCAATGTCTATGCTACTAGAAGAACTCAGTCTTGTTGCTGTAAGAAGAATATTTAAAAATACAAAGATGCTGAATTAAATGATTAATAACAGCAATGTGTTTGATGTGCATCTGATTCAGTTACTGACATTCACTCTTCCTCTCTTTATCTGCAGGCAATGTAGATTTTTCTGGGATATCTTCTGCTTCATCCTCAGAGTAATGGCCATGGTCCTGCTGTGAAAGATCACAACATCATTTTAAGAGGAAACATGACAGGATTTTGTGTTTTCCTGTTACACTGTTTGTGGCACTCACCAGCAGTCTGATGGTGTCCAGAATGATCTTGTGCCAGTCGTGTATGATGCTGTCTGTGTCATACTGTATCAGATACTCAGAGCCGTGACGTGTCTTGAGCTGCTCAGAGACATGGACAGTGTTACTGGCTTTATTATTCAAAAATATGGACTGATATATGCTGACAAGAAAATCTCTGAGGGCAAAAGCCAACAATTACTGGTGTCAATCCATGTCAAGGTAATACATTTTAAAGGGGTCCTATTATGCGTTTTCACTTTTTTAACTTTAATTAGTCTGTAATGTTGCTGTTTGAGCATAAAAAAGATCTGCAATGTTACAAAGCTCAAAGTCCACTTCAGAAGGAGATATTTTATTTAACAGAAATAAACCCTAACTTTTCAAAAACTACAACGAACGAATCGTTTGGACTACAACGCATATTTTCTGGGATTTGTGATATCACAAATATCGACGAATGGGACGAGACCTGGTCGAGCTGCACTAGAGAAGGCAACGATTGTTATCACTATGTCGGAGACACGCTAGCTTTCCCAAGGCAGACGAACTTAGAGTGGTTACAATCATCCGGGTTTAAATCGCGCTCAAATTTATTTGATTTTGACGCAATATTTAAACTGAAGCTCACAGGCGGCTATGGTAAGGGGCATGACATTTCCCGACCAGGCGCTGAGTGCTGCCAATCACAGCACACACTGGCCCAGCTAACCAATCACAGCACACACTGGCCCAGATAACCAATCACAACACACACTGGCCCAGCTAACCAATCACAACACACACTGGCCCAGCTAACCAATCACAACACACACTGGCCCAGCTAACCAATCACAGTACATTTCGTATTTCAGAAGGCGGCCTTCATTTGATACAGGAACTATTCGAGCCGTTCATGCCAGACTGGGGAGAGAGGTGTTGTAATAACGTAAAATATGTGAAAAAGAATGTGTTTTTCGAACAACCTAGTCTGAAAGCCTGTTCTAGTACACCCCCAAAACAAAATCAAGACTTTGTAAAAGAACATAATAGGACCCCTTTAAGATATTCGTGCCTAAGATAACATACTTCTCAGCTTCACCACTCCCTTAACTGCAACACGTTACTAATAGTGCAAGAGTTCTGGCAGCATTTGTTTTATTGCCAAAACAAAGGTCACCAGTCACACTTGCCAATGACTAAACCGATCACAATGGAACATATTTGAATTCAGAGAAACAAATTCAGTCTTCATTTGTGGAAAAGCAATGTGTAATAAATTTCACAGGATGCAGTCCTTTGATTATTTATTTTGCACAAGCTATGAACAGGAAAGAATGTCCCGAGTCACAGTGCTCACCTCTAGAACATTCTTCTTGCTTGACTTTTCTTTAGACGCCCATGATAAAGTCGCTCCTTTCAGTTCCACTGTGTACTCAGGGACGATCTGATTGCTCTTGGTCTGCAGGAGTCAACCAAAGGCAATCAGTTTATTTTAAATTGGTTCTCTTTAGTAGGTGCTACTGTATGTGATTTCTCAAAATCAATGTTGTACCAGACCAACTAGGGGTGCCGATAACCAATAAACAGTATATATATTCAATATCGACTAATATGATACATTTAAAACAAAGTCTAATACTGATATGTTACTGATCTATTGTGCATCCCAAATTACGTAGTAAACAGATTAAGTAAACTTACAGACATCCCAGCAGGTGTAAATTTAGGGTCTTTGTGGAAAGTGAGTATGCCATCATGGAGAACAGTCCACGACTGCGCCCAGTTCTTCCTGCAAAGACAGCAACAGCCATTTCAGAGCAGAGACACATGGTAAAACACTTTAAAGATCAAAGATCTGTCTAATCTTACCCTATCCTCAGCATCTGAGGAATATATAAAAGGGAATCTTTATATAAACTACCATTAGCTAAAAGTGCATGTTTCCCAGACCAGGGCTTTCAAGGTAACTGCAGTTGTGCGTTGATTGAAAACCTAATAATTAGTTATTAAAATGGAAAAGTAAAATAAAAACAAACAGAAAAAAATGAAATGCAATGTCATTAAATGAAATAAAAAAATGTACTGCATGTTGAAGAATGTGACATTATTAATATATTTACATTAATATCTCAGGGGGTTGACAAGAAAGTTTGGGAATCCCTGCAGTAAAAACACAACTACACAGTAGTTTTCATATTTTAATACTTGAAGGATGACTGTACTGTTTAACCAAAGATAAACTCAGTTAATTTAAGGCCCCACCTCAGTCTTTTTCCATTCTCAGCCACTTTTGTCTTGTTGAGAATCCCAGCCTTCTCCAGTGATGACTGATGAATGCAAAAGACAAGGGGTTGTTTGTTAGAGGGATCGGATTTATTTAAAATAAAATAAAAAACACATCAAATGAAGGACAAACAAAAAAGCTCTTTGTGAAAGTTTAAAAATATACTATTTGCCCATTTCATAATGACAAACAAATAAGAGCTAAATTTCAGAAAACTTTGTGTGATGTGAGTGCAACAAAATAAAAATATAAAATAATAATAATTTAAAAAAGTGTTAGTGCAGGTATGTTGGTAGCATGTTAAATGAACAACAACGAAACAGCATGCCACAAAACAACACGATCAACAGCTACTAACAAAGACACATTTTAAAATGAAGCAAAACTATTTTCCAGCCACTGGACAACAAGCAGTGATGTTAGTTTTCATCTAATGCACGACATGTTAGTTTTGGACCCCAATGCAGACAACTTAACAGGCCCAATAAACAAGCTCAGGACGCACATGATGAGAATGTGAATCTGTGCTGTGACTGGACAGGTTCCTCCGCCGCCTTAACTTTTTATTCTTGAGAAAGGAAACAAAATCTTGGGTTCTCACTAAATCGTGGACTTCTTTTCATTTTTGTAGAGCAAATCACATTATATTGCATATTTTTGATCAACAACTAGTTTATTTTTACATAAAAACACTGACAACTAAAGCACATTATAAAAACCTGATAATGGCAGGAAATTGTTTACTTGAGACTTAAAACATATTTTTTTATTAGCATGGCCTTAAACAATGGTTTATAATTCGTTTTAGATTATGCATGCAAAAGCATTCCATTAGGGGAACTTGACATGAATGAGAGCTAAATGACAATGCAGTAAAGAATGAGACTGTTACACATGAATGAGTTTTGGTGAACTAAATGACATGAGTTAAAAGCTCCACTGAGGGCTGGAAATAACAGAGGTCATGTTACATACGTTATGCTGTGATTCTGGTGAATTCCCTGAACTGGATGCATCACTGGCATTGTCAGAGGCGATCCGCCTGTGTGAGGGGGAAAATTTCTGCAGGAGGAAAACGAGAGAAAGAGAAATAAATGAATATTAGCTGGTGGAAAATGGTGCGGTGGTGTGTCAGATCAGGTACCAGATGTTTCCTTCCTTCCTGTTGTGGTCACTGATGTAAGCTGCAAAAATAGCTGAGAATGAAATGTCTCACATGAGAGAGAACAGTGAGAGGGCATCCCTCACACAATTTGCTGAAACTGTGAAGAAACTTTTTGGTTTATGTCTAGCTGTCTCTGACCTCTATAAGGGTTCACAAGTCAGATAAAGGTTAATGAGTTACAAAGGACAGGATTTTTTAAAAAGTCAAACAACTGTATATATCTTAAATTATATGAGTGAACAGATCCAGGTTAAGAGTAGGCTTGCCGCGATAGACGGTGTTGACGGTGATACCAGTGTTAAGCCGCAACACCGGTTACGTCACTTGCCCACCGCGTCACCGACCCCCACCGTCGTTTTGATTTTTTTATAGAAATAAAAATAATTTATTTCAGTAAAAGAACAGACACTACAATTAAAAACTGAACGCGGCTGCACAATGCAGCGTGCCGAACAACATTAATTTATCCAGTGAGGAGAGTGAGTCGGCCTGCCCTACAGCATGGTGTATTTTTATTCGTTTTGTTAATAAAAGTTCTATGTTTGATATATAGGCTAAAGTGAGTTTGACGTTGTATTTTGTTGTTGCATTCAAGCAATTGATGCTGAACTGCTGCTAATTCGAAAGTGAAAGTAAAATGCGCATGGCAATTTTAAGCTATTTAAATGCGACGGAAAGCGAGGAAAAGAGGGAAAATTCAAATGAACAATTGCTTTACGGGTGGGACAATATCCTCACCATCACAACCCTAGTTAAGAGTGTCCAGAAACTCACCAGGTCTTCCTGAGATACGGTGAACTGGGATTGCCTCCAGTTCATAACAGGTTGAGTATCTTGGTCTGTTCCATTTCCATTGATCGGCTGACCAGGTGGGACTGAAGCCTTTACACAGAGTAAATAAAGGTCTTATAAGTTCATACAGAGTTCAGGGTGAGATATGCATTTGTAAAGAAAATTTAAAAAAAAAAGTATTTGACCAAAAAAAAAAAAAAAACACAAAAACAGAATGAAATACAGAAACTTGAATGTCCAAAGAAAATCCTATACAGACCTCTGGAAGGGTCCACTGACATTTAGACCCATCCTTTAAGTAGTAATACAACTTCCCTTTGTCATCCTTAGACTGGATCCACTGCGATTGGGAGACAAAAATATTAGTTTTGGTTTATTTATTAAGCGACTTATTTTAAAGATTTGGCTCTGAAATTATTTACGTTAAAATAAAAGTATATATTTGAGCATATGCAATGTGGAGATATAGACCCACTAGAGAACTATTTGACAAATCTTTCCCAAAGATCAACACATACCTCTAGCATGTTTATTTATTAAATATGCTGGCTATTTTGATTTCACTTTTAGCTTCCAATAAGAAAATAGCAACCCCATCTCCATTTTAAACATGTTTAATATCATCCCCTGTGCATGTGTGTATGTGTGTTGTGATGAACTCTCATGACCTGTTCATGTGTGAGTTCATTTGTGTAGACAGATTTTCCATCGGCCCCTACAGATTGAGCCCAGCCCACAGGGACGTCTTTATGCATGTCCACAACAGCCCTAGGGATGATGGCAATCTTGATTTGGGGCAATTGAAAATCCTTAGGGAGCTGAAGAGAAAAATGGGAATCCTCACGCTGATTCGCTGGGTAGTCCTCCTCTGGAAGAGGTGGCTGCGGAAGCAAAAAGTGAACAAAAAACAGGGACAGAAATCTTTACTGCCAGTTTGGATCAATTTTTTGCATCCTTGCAGAATAAAATTATTAAATTTCTTTAAAATAATCTTACTAATCATAAATGGTAGAGCAGATGGAGCGGCAGAATCTTACCGGCCCGTTTGGCTCCTTGCCATGACTGTGTGCCTTATCTGTAGAGGACGGAGGTAGTTCCGATGGCTCCGGGGCAGTCCAAGAGGTTTGCTTCAAAGCATAATTATAATAATAATGTCTCCCAGTGGTCTCATCCAAAAGCTGCTCCCAGTCAGAGCCCAGCGAGTGTGCTGAGGACGGGGTGGACACAGGTATGGGGGAGGTCACAGACTCCATACCTGCTCCTGCTGGGGGGCTACGGGGATCAGACCAACTGCTCTGTCCTGTGGCAGGGTGGTAGTAGTACTCCTTACCGCTGTCGTGGTCAGTATGAACCTGCCATCCGGCCGAGTTGGGAGGGGAGGCGGAGTCCGGAGCAGGACTGAGGGTGATGCCGGGCGACGAGCAAGTTGAAGTAGAGGAGTTTGCAGAGCGAGGAATGGTCTTCTTCAGGTCAGTAATGTTGGCATACACAGCTGTGTTTGGGTCATTCTCTGTCTGATGAGAGAGAAGAATGATGATGTTTTGGGTATAATGGCAACTTCTACAGGACTAAATTTAATCAAAAGATGAAAATCAAGGTCAAAACAAAGTAAATTTAAGTACTTGAAGTATTTATCAAGTACTGTATATCATAATCAAATTTGAAAAAAGTAAATATTAAGCTTTTATGGACACATACAATTGAACAGACCACATCACACGGAACATGGCACTGGCATGAGGAGTGTATCTGTCTATGTCCCATGCAAAAACTTACATTATTCATCTGAACAAAGGTCTATAGAAACCTGATGAAATCAAAGAGCTATGGGAAGAAAATCCTGCTGGAACCGCTCCCTCGATTCAGGAAAACACAAGGACGTTTATTTGGAATCAAATATCTTGCCAGCTTTCATCTTCAGGCCTTCACTCTTTTTCCCATTATAGAGTTCTTCAGTGGAATTTTAATAAACTAGAACAGACCTCTGCACTTAATTGGAAAGTTTGCCCAAAACATTACAAACCAATAAATCACCTCATGCTGTTTAAAACATTTTTAGAGTTACATAAGAATACAGAGTTGTATGGACAGCTTAAGAGTATGTACTGTACACTTGACAGTCAAAGTCACCATTTGTGTAAAAAAAAAGCAGCTTGGGCATTCTGCTAGCTAACTCCAGTCCACTAGTTAAAAAAGGCATAGTTAGTGTTTCAACCATCATGAGGGTGAGTTGGTGACATAATTTTCATCTGTGTTAGAACTATCATGGGCATCATACCAAAAAGCTGGCAAGACGTAGACAGGAGCCTTGCTGCACACCTGTGGAAAGCTCATTGGAAACCACAATGTGAGGTCGGAAAAACATCAACAACAGGCCATCCTAATGAAAACCTGTGTTTGTTTAGTCCAAGTGAAAGTTTCTCTGGATACCATGTTCTTCCAAAATGAGGAAGCATCCAGATAATGTGTTTTCCACAGCACACTCTCTGGGGAAGGGAAGCCAAGATCAAAACATAACAACGGGCAGGAGTTTCCGCTGCACGATGTACATTTGAGAGGAGCTTGATACACACATAATGCTGGAGTGTGTGGACCACTGCCAAAATGTACGGCCTGCTGGAGTATCTCAATAATCTGATATGCGCGTCAGCTAAAAAAGAACCCAAGTGCATCAAAATAATATAACATTAATAAACTCTGTCAGTTTACAATGCAGCAAACAGAACAACTTGATTTTACAAGTTTATTTTAAGTTTAAAAACATTGTCTCTGTGTAAATATATAAATTATGATAATGTGTGTTCAAGTGGTGTAAATGAACAGAATTTTTAATCACATTTGAGCTTTTTGTTCACTAAACTCATGCAGTTTGACAAAGTACAAATAATCTATGTATTAATCTTTTAATTAGTATAAAGTTGTGCTGTGAAATGATTAATCGCCATTAATTGCATCCAAAATAAACGTTTTTGTTTATATAATACATGTGTGTGTACTGTGTATATGTATTATGTATATATAAATACACACACATGCATGTATATATTTAAGAAAAATATGTTACGTTTACATATTAAATATACTTATATATTATATAATTTATATGAATATATACATGTAAATATGTTCAAAATATATGCTGTATGTGTGTGTCTTTAGATATATATATATATATATATATATAATAAATATACACAGTACACACACACATATATATTATGTAAACAAAAACTTTTATTTTGCATGCGATTAATCGCAATCTCTTATACAGGATCTATAAATACGAATGACCCATTAACAATTACAATTTGTTGATGGATTCAGTTCAAGACTGCAAAACAAAGGTAAACCATCTGACCCTGTTTCACTTCTTAACTAGCAATAACAAACTTGGAGTAGAAAATTGTTGGGTAAACGACAGTAAGCAAACAATAGCAGGGTAGTCTGACAAGCACGATATCCTACCTGCGTATCTGTCACAGCATTCCCACAAACCCCAGTCTCAGTCTCACAAAGCTACCTTGTTTACCGCTTACCTTACGAAACCTCAGGAAGGTCTGCAGCCTTGGCATAAGCGTATGGCAAGCCTTAAGGATCACCTCTTTTACTTCCATCCGAGCAGTCAGCAAAATAAAGCTACTATCATAAAAAAAAAAATTCAACTATTGTGTTCTGACCACATATGGTCCCACCTGAAAGGAGCGAGAGTTTCAAAACACCAGAAGATCTGGAAACGTTTTTCTGCTGAACTACAACACGGCTTCTGGCTAACAGTACAGTACCAGCTGATATACAGTAAGTAGGGATTCACAGAAATTGGGAATTTACAAAAAAAACATCCGGCTTTAGGGGAGGGGCACATCAGATTAATTGACAGGAAAGCTAAAGGGGATCTCCTGAGGGTCCAACAGGCGTGTTTGTGCGCACACACAAACACAGAAACCTCAACTGGGAACACAAACTAACTGCTGTGGGTGGAGGGACTCATGTTAAACTATCATTTCCTCTTGAGGTGGAGTAATGCTAATTAAAATAAACAACATAATTATTGGCTTGGTAAACATCCTGCGATCTGTCAAAAAGGCTACATGGACAACAAACAAGAATTTGAAGTAAAATCAAAGCCATGCTTAAAGTAATATCCGTCAGCGTATGCAAAGTCCCATTATCCCAATAAGGGAAGTAGTGCTTGCAAACTGAAATCACTTTCACTTGCAAACTTAATTCCTCTTTCCTGCTGAACAAGCTACGTGCGAAGAACTGGGTGAGACGGGATTCTAGTGTAACCAAATCAAGCGGTAAGTCTAGATTAAAGGCCAAAGCTTCATCATTCAAATAAAACCTCAAAAGCTCTTTTAGAAACTCACCTGATTTCACTTTAAAGGTGACCCTGTGTGCTGATCTGTATTTCACAGAAACGTGTTACTGGATCAGACCTTTTATTTCCAGCATTGCCATTAGAATTGGCAGGTTTAAAAACAATGACAACAGGTACGATTTAGCTCAGCTCACAAACTATTGTTATTGCTCATATTTTAGGGACGTTTCTAAACCCCCAAATCTAGTTATTAAACTCTGGCATCATGTAGCTCAGCTGAAACCTCAAATAGTTTGGCTTGTTGAGGAGAGGTGTGCTATCTATGCAAATAATTTTTGGCCAATTAATGGCAAAATGTCCCAAAACATCCCATAGACTTACACTAAATGAGGGATCCGAGCCATATCTAGGATATCTAGGCTGGGTGTGTTGCACAGGCAAGCAATGTAAATGTACTCTGGTATTTTTATTGAAAAAGCAGAACACTCTACCAGCACTGGTGTCAAGGAAACTGCATCTGCATTTCATGCCATCTTGTTTCAACTGAACACACTGACACACAGACCAAAAAAGTGTTGCAGGGTTCAAGAAGGCCCAACAAATTAACCAAATTTCAGTGTTGGGGTCATGTTTTAGAGAAAAATAATTTCTAACACTTTGATTTTGAAATAACAATCAAAATCCCTCAGGTAATTCAAATATTTTTCATTTAAACCCACGAACCACAGCAAACTGCCAAAAATCAATGCACACTATGTTGTTTGGTCAATTATTTACGTCGCCCATAGTCTCAAAATAGTCTTATGGTGTGACATTCCAGAGTATTTTGACCCCATTCTTGATCACTGAGTTTACAGACAGTTCTTCCTTATGCAACACAAACAATAACAGAAACCAGGAACACTTATACCAGTGTTCACAAACAAAGTACTTTAAACGATTTAAAAGATTTCCTCATTGCTGTTCACTTAGGTCTGATTAAAAGTATATCTGAATAAATACATGTGTCTGATTAAAAGTAAAAGAATTTGTATTAAACCAGATGGCACAAATATTAGTCACAAAATAAATCCCACTGATTCATTCAAAGGTTGATCGCAGATCAAATATTATCTAAAGTTTTGAGGATACCGTGCGAAATTTAAACATCTGCATGCATCTCAGAGGTTTTGGCTTGCTCATGTTGTAACTGCAAAATATCCATATCCAAAAGAGGCTGCAGAATTTAACAATTTGAAATGTAAATCACAAAAAGTGCAAAGAAATCATTAGAAGGCCATAATAACTTACTATTAATAAGCAATAATTAAACAGTCTACATTATATTTTCTCAATCGATGAAATCCTTATTCACACAGGTCTAAGCAATTCAGAAAGCAAGTGGCCTTATCTGTTCAAAACAGCTCCACTCCATTGAGAGGTCAAAACAGACTGTCTTGAATAATTTGATGCACAAATGAATCAGTTAAATGATAGGTTTACCTCAAAGGTAAAGCACAAAAATAAAATGTTCTGCCTACAAAAGCTCTCCATCTTTTCCGTGACCACTTAAGGTTTCTTTATATATCAATATTTACATGATAAATTAAACCCCAATATTATTTTACACAAAAATATCAATTTCAACCTGGAATTTAACAGTTTTAGTTTGAGTATTGTTTTAGTTGGCTATTTATAATGAATATGCTAACTGATTATCCAGTCTAATAAAAACATACAGTAAATAGGCTGCATGGCAATCATTTAACAGCAATAGACCTAATGAACCTTGACTTAATGGTAAAACAAGGCGTGGACATGAAATCTACTTTATATTTCTATATAAAGAGCTGTACATTTTTAATTTAAGAGGGGAAAACAGCTGGTTTGCTGATCTCCTAGCAATTTGGGGAGATCAGCTTAAATAAGGTAGATCAGTGAAAACAGTTTAGACTGGTTTAAGCTCGTTTTTTAAAGCAGTGTTATACTTCACAAACCCAAGTGGGCATCAAAGCTGCTTAGAAACAATATAGGCCTATACTGTGAAAAGCGCAATACAAATAAAACTGAATTGATTTATAATTTCCCATAAACACAGACTATTCGCGCTCAAAGTCGTGTATAGCAAACGCTCTTATTATAACCATTAAAGCCTTCTAAAAACAAGCGATTCGGTTGAGTTCTGCCTTAACCGCCATAAAAAGTCAATAGAAGATT